GGTGAGTGCCAGAGCTTGGCTCCGGGTCTCGGGCAGCTCCATCCATCCCGTTTGGATGCTAAACGCGCTGAGGCTGCTGAGCACCCGCAGCTGATCCCTGCCGGATCTTCCCCACACATGCTCACTGCAGACACACATTCACTCCCCGTTCCTTCCTTCCTCAGCCTCCCTCCCTAAATCCTGCTGGCCACTTTTGTTTTGATTAGGACTGGGCTTGCCTGGTCCCCAGGAGAAGTCAAAGACGACAAGTCTGTAACAGCATACTCTGCATGGGGACTTCTATACTCCAAACAAGCATACCAATGTCATATTAGACATAAGGAGCAATGAAATACTCATCCCACTTGCTTGCCCAGAACTTCCAGTTATCCTGAGCAATTAAGTAGTTTTTAAAGGCTCCCAATAAAACAAAAAAAGGTATGCTAGATGAAAGAATGAATGCATCCTTGAAAAAGCACAGGATCACGTGTGCTCACAATATAAGAAAGTCAGTATTAAGTGTATAATGTCATGCCTTACTCTGTCACAGAAAAAGCAGTTTGACTGTGCCTAAAAACTAGGAATTCAAAGAACAGGCATCTGATTCATCATTGAAGAGGACAGTTGGTTACATTAAGTGGAAAAAACTGTTCAGATGCTGCTTGTATGCCTCACTTTCCATTTATTCTTCTGTTTACAGTCAAAACAGTCTCAGTAATTTTTCCTCCTTCTTTTGTTATAGGTACTTGAAAGAGTAAGAGCAATCTTTATATCACACAAATGATAGTGCAGTGCAGAAAGACTCAATGCAAGAAAAAAGGCTGTTTTCCATTTTAATCAAATTTTGTAGTAACAGTAAGAAAGTTTGGATGAAAGTGAAAAATTTCAAGCCGACTATGTTCCCTTTAATGAGAAGACAAAATACACCAGCTCCTACATGCTGCTCCTCCCTTCCTTCCTCTCCCCATCTCATAAAAGAGGATCCCAAAGAATGATTGTGTTTAAGGTCCCAGTTCAGAAATAGTATATCGATTCCTTATTGTGGTAAGAATTTTGGACTGAAGAGCCAGGTCCCAGCAAACTTCATCTAAACTGAAAAATCCATTCCATCCTGAAAAAACACATTACTGAGAAACAGACATAAATTTTTAACCCTTGGTATTCACAAACGTTCATCTGTTAATTGCATCTGTTTACATTCAGCACCCTACAGTCCATTATCATCTTTAACATCTGCACTTCACGCTAAGCAAAAGAAAAAAGACTTGTTTCTAACTTAGTCTGTACTAAGTGTGTGTGAAAAAGACTATACAGCATTTTTGCCTTGCTGCCAGCATCCAAAAGAAGTAGTATATAAGTTGTCTAATTTTGAATGTGCACAAAACATTTAACAAATGTCATCCTTTTCTGATTCTATAAGAACTTCAGCTCTTCTGAGTTCTTTGCACTGAAGACCTTTATTCATTTGCACTACAAAAGGTTTCCCTCACTTCACCTCTCCAGTCTGCTTTAACCTTTCACAAATGGATCTTCTTCTAAAATTTAAGAAGAGCCAGTCATACATAACTAGGTCCAGAATTCACATAACAAAAGAGAAACAAGCTGTATTATTCATTCCATGGTAACTTATAATGAGAACATATGACAATATTGAGCCAAATTCAGTAAGGTGCACAGTCCTTGGATTTAAAAATGTTACAAAGGACTATTGTTGCTACTCTTCCATTTTTTTTTCAGAAGAGAGTTGACTTGGCAGATTGCTGCACTGAGCATAGCTTCTGTTCAAAAAATCAAATCATTTTTAGGACTCGTAATTTTTACATGACCCTGAATGACTCAAACACAAGACTTAAAGACATAAGCTGTATCAGAATAGAGCTAAAAAGGAAAAGATAGTGGATGTGTGTAAGTGTACCAAATTATGTTGTAGACACACAGATGCACGTATATAATGGCCGGTGTGTTTCTACCTTAAATAATGCATCCAGCTCTAGGTACTTCATTACCAGAAGTCTTAAGGTAGTTCAGGGGAGATCAATCTAAATGATTAACACCAAAGGGGGGGACTTAAAAGGCAGGGTTAAAAACTCAATACTGCAGCTGTTTGTGAATAGAACATTCATTGGGTGAAGGGGAAGAGAAGTCCAAACAAAAGCATGGTCCTCTAAAAATATATCAATATATACAATTAGCATAGCACTGACTTTAGAAAAGTGTGACTATAATCCACATATAGCTAAGGGGGAACTCCAAGAAGAAAGCAAAATTATTTATTGCAAGCTCAAAAGTCTAGGTATAATGACCTTAAACTATTACAAGAATTTTGACTTGACATACAGTAAGTTTTTGTTCATAGCAAGATCTCATAAACTGGGCATAACAACGTCACCAAAAAAGAGTAAGATAAAAAAGGAAAAATAATGTTGTGGGGTTCAAGCTAGCTTTGAAAAGACTTTGACTAAGTAAACTAGGAGCTTCTCTCTCCTGCTCAGACTGCCTAATTCTACAAAATTACACTAGTAGCTACAAACACTGCAGAATGAGCGAATGAATACATGCAACACTACCTGCACACACTTAAATGATGAAGTGTTTTCGAAGCAGTTTTGAACAGTAGTGTTTTGTTTCAATGGATTAATAAGCTAACATCTTTGCCATGAAAAGGACCCAACACATGACAATTTTTTTCAAATTAATGAAACTAGTAAGAAGAGGGTCCAATCACTGCTCAGGCAACAGACTGTTGTACAAGCAGCAGCGTTAAACAACATTATAGATTTAAAGACATTTTTATGCTCTGACTGCTACTGCTAGAACTGCACAGCTAGTTAGCCAACAAAGTATTCTATGTAGCAATATCAATTATCTAGAATGTACTTTGAAACACAACAGATAGTATTTCTCCCTGTTATGTTATACAGAAACTGATGGAAGGAAGATTTACATCACAGTGAAGTTTATATATACACACCTTCGATTTCATCAGAATGAAAATGATGAAAAACATACTTTCTTTGCTGAATTCATTGGAGAATACTAATAATAACTTCACTCAGTAAGACATATCTTTAAGCAAACTCAAAATGACTGAGGCACACAGTTAACATGGTATTTTTCACTGCATTTTACACTGTGATTGTCTTAGAAACCCAAGGGTATATGGATAAATTGTAGATTATTAAACTGTAATAAACAAACTTGTCTAACATTTCCTTCTCTTCCCCTCCTTTAGGGAACACAACTCAATAGACTTCCAAATTTACTACTACTTTATTATTTTCTATGACTATTTTCCATTATGAAACTGAAAACCTTGTCTAGTATTACTTAAATGTATCAGGTTATCTTGCAGTTCAATACTTCTCTATTTCCACAGCTCTAAGAATATCTTTGTTTCCAAATGTGTTTTTTATTAACAGCACTACTATGTTTTAAATATTTGTCTTCTTCTAGTGAAGAAGCAAAAAAAATACATACATTAACACAAAATTACATTAAGAAAGAGGAGGTTTTATCTTTAAAGCAAATTTATTAAACTGTAAGAAGCAACTTTGTGACTTAAGATACAAAGAAGGGAAGAAAAGGGGAAAAGGAGGAAGACTGCTCCTTTTTTGATAAGTGTTTCATTCATTCAGTTCTAAAGAGAAAAAGCAGTAGCAAAGAGGGGGAAGCTTATATGCCAGTACAAAGCAGGAAGTGTAGGAATTTAGTGAGTTCACTACTGGATTCTAGGCTTTGTACATAATTGCGAATGCAAGCAGCTGCATTGAAGTGCAGGCCCTTAGGTGCAGGGGCACACGTAAGGCAGCAAGACCAGAAATCCACCCCATCCTGCACTGCAAGGCAACAGGCCACAGCAGCAGCTTCTTCAGAAGTTTCAGCCACCTTTTTTACTAACTAATCAATGGTGTATGCTTTAAAAAAGCCTGATAAAGTTACTGCAGAATAAAGCTGGGCAACCAAATGCAACATTAAAAGGGAGTCATGGAACACCCCCTTCACCGTCATTGCAAACGTCATAGAAAACGGACAGCCACGTAAAAAGATGCCTTTTGCCTCAACATGGCCCTAGCCCACCCCAAAATGGTCTCTTTACCTGATGCCTCTCTTCTCTGATCACACAGGAGATGGGTGAAATTCAAAATTTAGAGAAGGACCACGGAAGTTCTTCTTCACAAACCACAGTACAGGTCTCAAAAAAAGTTCCCTTATTATTTTGTACCTATTTTGCATCAGTAACTCGTTCAACATGAAGGCATTCATACTAGTTTCCACATTCAAAACACAAAACCAACCATGCTGCTTAAAATTAAAACCATGGACCATACATCCCTTGTCTCCCCAACAGCCTTACAGAGACACTGCTTTTGGTCTGAATACTTAATGATTATTTTTTTTTTTCTCTCCCTAGAAAGGAATAATTAAAAATCAACCAACCAAACCACATACATGCTTCAGAGTATCACCACAGGGACACTCTCAGGTCTGAATTACTGCAAAATAACACCATAATTATGTCTTAATTTCACTAACTAATCTCAGATGAGCTTTTAAAAAGTAATTCGAGGTTTACAAGGAAACCGTTTAAAACTGTACTCAAATGTTATCTGAATGAAACCCGACATTTATTTATCCTTTTTCCAGCTTAATTTTAAACAGTTTCCAAGGAAAGGCATATCTGCTCCTGATCAGTCTGGTGACAAATGATAAACCTTGTTAAAAAGTGTGACATTTGAAAATAAATAAAAACCACAGGAGACTTTTCTACCCAATGAGGAAGATACGAAGAAACATTATACCCCTTGCACAAATGACCAGCCACAGAGACTAAGCACAATCTAACGACCTTATTTACTCAAATTGTACACTGCCAACAAAACCACTACCTAAGGCAACTCTGTAACTACAGATGTACTTAAATACCTAGAAAAAATAGGTTACTTCTCTTCACATAAAACCGGAGTCCCACTGAGCTCAACCAAATGTGGCAGGCTGAGATGGAAGACAAAAACGGGTCTTACTTGGTGTACAAAGACATCAACTGGAGACTCCAAGGGGCTTCCCTCTCGGTTGCTCATGGAGATGAACCCGAATCCCATTCTCACATTGAACCATTTGCAATGGCCGGTTCCGTGCAAAACCTGGGAATCCTCTTCTTCTTCCTGCTCCGGCAACTTCCCGGGTTCGTCTCCACCTTTACTCGCCCCTGCTGAGGTAGAGGGAAAGGCGGGGGGTGTGGGGTGGAAGGGGGAATAAAAAGAAGGAAGAGAGGGACAAGATGCAAAGCAAAGAGTTAAATTCTGGTAACATCCTTTTGCCGCTGTAAAAAAAAGTTATTAAAAAAAAAAAGGGAAAAAAAAAAAAAAAAGGGGGGGGGGGGGCACGAAGAAAACAAAATCAAAAAGCAAACTGTGAAAAATGCGTATTTTTCCTAAATCCTAAAATAAACAACCTTCTCCCCAAAATACGTAAAAAAATTAAATCACCGGAGGTTACAGAGAGGAAACACTGCGCTCGGAGGCTCTCCCTCTCTCTGAGCCCAGGGCAGCCCACGTTTCTGTACATACGTGTATTTTTCCATTTAACTCCATCTTTCAGCCACATTACAGCACGGAACGCGATACTTTACTTGAATATTGCTGGTTTAAGACCGATCCCATTTCTCAACAGAAATTCTCAGCCCAATTAGTCTCTCCTCGCAAGGCGCAGGACCGGGGGGCGAGGGGGGAGGCCGGCCGAGGAGGGGTGGAGGAGAGAGAATAAGCAAAATTGGGTAGATTGCACAACTGGTTATTGCACGTGCAGCGCCGAAACCACTATTTTCCAACGTGTATCTATCCCTCCTAGGAATAAACTTTCGATTAAAGTTGGGACAGGTGTACGGCCGTTTTCTCATCCCACCACTGCAACTGTGCTTAATCAAACAGGAACAATTCAAACAATAGCCCCCTGAAAGCTTTTCAAGTTGTGAATCGGTGTGGGCGGTACGGAACAGTTTCTGAGCTGGGTAACAATGGGTTTGGAGAAAGCCCCCTTGCGCGAGCTGCTAAAAAAGGGTAATGCATAGTTGGGTAAAAAAGGGGTGGGGGGAGGGGGGGAGAGGGGGAGAGAGCGAACGAGCGAGCGAAAATCATAGTAAAACAATAGAAAAAGAAAATTAACCTTCGGCCATGTTGCCCCACGGGCCCTCTGCTCCAAACTCGTGAGATGAAAACTTTCCCTGTGGATCGAAGTGGTCTTCTGCATTAATCTAACATCCTGATTTTGAACGATCGCAAATTTAGCTCGCATGGTCTAATGTGCTTTCCCTCTTTTGATTTTTCCCCGTCTCTCTCGCTCCGTTTCTGGCCCCCTGCGCACACGTGACTCGGTCAATTACATGCTTTCTTGCTACTAATTTCGCATCGGATCCTTAAGGGGTTGGCAGCAGGCAGGAGCAGCCAATCGCCATTTCAAGTAGCCTGACACACCAAAATAATTTATGAATGAACAAGAAATTTCCAACGCGGCGCTTTTTTTTTTTTTTTTTCCTTCCTTTTCGGACAGCTAATCTGCACGCTTCTTTACGGTAAATCGAGATGACGTATTATTCTGGGGGTTCTGCCCTCCCGTGCATGCAGAAATCCGTAGGAAGATCCGTGTATTTCTAGATACAGCCCACTGAACAACAGCTGCACGCAGGGGCGGCCGTGCGGAGGAGATTATGGGGGTATCTGCGCCCACCGCAGGCGGGCTCCGCGTGCGCACACGAAGGCGAGATGCTCCCGGACAGGGGACACGCGTGTGTGCAGGCATGGACAGGGGATACACGTGTGTGCACACACGCACGGCGAGCGCCGGCAGGCATCTGTGGCATCCTCTGCGCACAATGTGGGCAGATGCGCAACTGGATCGTTACTAATTTCGCATTCAAATTACAAGCGCGCCGGAAACGCGGTATCACCTTAATATGCCCCAGAATGTGCGGAGATCTAGCTTTTCACAACATTTCTGGAGGGGGGGGTGGGGCGAGGAATTGTACTTCACAGGTTTCTCCGCCATCTCTTTCCGGGGGAGGGGATGTGATTAATGACTTCCTAAATAAGAGCCCAGTTTTCAAGCCGAGAATTGGAGTGAACCTCAATCAGCAGTTGGGAGAGGACTGACAGAGAAAGGGATTTACTGGAGGAGAGGGCGAAAAAAAAAAAAAAAAAAAAAAAAAAAAAAAAAAAAAAAAAAAAAAAAAAAAAGCCTCGGGGGAAGAGGACAAAGAGGGGAGAAATAACGGTGACCGCTGTTTTAAGTCTTCAGTGCCAGCGGGAGAGGGGACCCAATTCGGAGAAGAAAAGTGTGATGTGTAACGGGCTTGGTAACAGCCCCTTTTCAAAGGCACTCCCCTTCCGCGCTCACAGGTACACTGCTATGGCCCTGCCCTCCAGCCCTTCCTGCGGCTGTACGCACGGCCAAACGCTTTTAAAGTAATATTTTGTGAACGTGAGAAACAAACAGCGGAGAACTAGTTTTGTTTTCCCACCTGTCCATCTCCTTTAGGGTAAAGTTACAGATTAAAGTATTCTGTCCTCATCACCACCTACACGCATTAACCTGTCTTTCCATGCAGTATTTATACATATATATGCATGCATATATATATATATATATGTGTGTGTGTGTGTGTGTGTGTGTGTGTGTATGTGTGTATGTGTGTGCTTTAAACGTTGCTCATACCTTGTAAAAACCTGGACTCCGACTTTCTTCTTAACCCACCCCCCAGCATCCTCTCTTATCCCAAGGACACACAAACAAAAGCCAAGGCAACAAACTGATCCGTGCAGAACCTGAATGCAAGGGGCTTATGCATTTGCAAAGCACTTGCTGTTGTTTGGGAAGTGGCGTCGATCAGTCTGCCCAATTAAGGGGAACGCCTTTGCCCCCATGGGCCTGTTTACTCCTTTTGTTGCCTTTCAGGAAAGCGTCAATTCCCCTGCTAGCGCCTCATTTCTGTGTGAAACACCAAGGTGGAAGCTCCGTGTGATGGTTTGCAAGAAAGAGGCGAGGGTGGGCAAGAGTGTACAAATATAAGCACCCTGACAAGTGGAGCAGAAGCTTTAAATCCTGAAATTCCTTTGCAGTCTTCAACCGTAAATTTCCTATAGGTTATTTCAACAGTCAGGTCGATTTCCTACACTGACCTGCTTTACGCATTCGTGCAACATACCACTGCTTTTGGCTCATAACCTCCTTTCCCCCCTTACAATAGCGATTATTTTGCAATATTAAATCTCCAGTAATTTTATATGCTTGGATCTTATGACCCGGACGATATCTAATATATAATAAATGTACGCGATTTTAATACACGTGAAACCTCAGTTACGAAAATGAAATTAGAGTTACCGAAAGAAAATAATTCTTACACCTCTTACTTGAACTGCCCGAAACTACATATCTTGTGGCAGAATGGCAAATTTATAAAATACAAGATCCCTATGCCACTCCCCTCGAAAAGACAGAAAATACCCCTTTAATAACGTTTTAAAAGTCTTTATTTTAAAAGATTGATTTATTTTACCGGTATTCGGTATAAAAAATACCAATTCCTTAGAGGCTAGAATATTGGTTAAACAGACACAAACGAGTTGATTGAGGTCATTAAATGGACAAAATGTCTTGTTAGCAAATTTCAGTGAAAGGAAAATTTACTTTATGTTCTTCGGTAAATAAATGAACGACTACAAAACCACGTAAATAAATGAATGTAAATATATTGGTAGAAAAGTTTTTCTTAGGTTGCAAAATAAGTGCAGATTTTGTAAAATGGAGGGGGGTGGGATTTGCGATGTGTCTTTACTGAGATTTTCAGGCCTCCAGTATTAGTGGAATTAAGGTTGGGGTCACTGGACTGGTCACTGGTGTCAGATGTTATCGACTCATTCATTTCCTGCAAGGGACATCAGCCTTTCAAGTTTTGTGGAAGGTAGAGAGCTGTTGCCAGCTGGGAACTCTCCGGGTAAGAGAAAAAAAAAATTAAAAAGAAAAAAAAAAAAGAATCCCAACCAAAACCCTTCCAAATTTCATTCTGAAAGGGGTGGAAAGAAAACCCTACGGAACAAGACAGTTCGTGGAAAAACTTAGTTTAATGGTAATAGTTTACATCTTTAAAAAATCTATTTCTATCCTTACATTTCGCTAAACATATGCTAATTTTGGTAAAGACAATTATAGGAAACTGGAATCATTGTCTTTCTACATGCACAGCAAGAGCTCGCTTGAAACTATGAAACCAAAACCAGTGGTGTTGGATTTCCTATTTGTCACCTTCCTAAAGCTTTTAAAGTCCTAACTTCGGTTTCTTCTATTCCCTTGAACAAAACCAAAACAAGGCAAAAACCGCACAACTGCCCGTCCCCCCGTCCCCCCCCCCCAAAAACCACCAAGAAAAAAAAAAAAAAAAAAAAAAAAAAAAAAAAAAAAAAAAAAAAAAAAAAAAAACAAAAACCCCAACAACAAACCAAGACAAATGACGGAGCAGCGTGCATTTGTGCATTTGAAACAAAACGCGTGTTTTACACTTGAAAGCAGAGCTCGGGGTGCTCCTACCACTTCCCATTTCAAAGCACAGCCAGCGCTCCTCGCCGACGGGCAGGCAGGAGGGGCAGGGGCGCCGCGGCGCCGTCCCTGCCCCCTCTCCTGCGCTGCCCGGGCTGGGCTGCTCGGCGCCGCCCCGCCGATGTTGGACCGCCTAAGATGCCCGTCGTGTTTTTTCTACACGGTCTCCACGGACACCGGCTCTTCCCAGATGTGCGGTGGGAGGGGGCCTTTCCCGCCGCTCCTACGGCCGGGAAGCTGTGCCGGTGCGGAGCTGTTCCCGCCAAAACCCTCTCACCTACATTTTGGGCGCCAAAGCCGCTTTCCCTTTCCGCCGCCGCGCAGCGCCCGGGTCGAGGCCGGGGGCGGCCAGGGCCCCGCTCCCGGCGCGATCCGTGGGGATCAGAGGCCGCTTCCCACCGCTGCTCCTCCGCCGGGCAGGGCCAGAGCCGGGCGCTCGCCCGACGCGGGGGCTCGGGGGTCCAGCGGCCGGGCCCGGGAGGCGGCTGGTCTGTCCCCGCAATCCTGCCCTAAAGCCGGGTTTTGCCCCCGGGCTTTTGTTTAACACTTCCCAGAAAACGCGGCTCCTTCTCAGAGGGGACGTGGCGGCGTGCCTGCCCGCGCCTTTGGGAAAGCAGGGTCGGACGCGCTCAGGACACTGCCAACTCCTCTGGTCGAGCTTATTACCCTGGCTTTAAATCGCCAGCATTAATAGTAGAAAATACGCAATTTGTAATTATTTTTTTAAACAGAACACAGCGCCGGCCCAACTGCGCGCTGCCACGCCTCGGATCGAGCACGGACGGGATTTGCCCGACGTGCGACTGCGGGTATGAAGTTACAGGCTTTACGGGGGCCCTTCGCACCGCGCCCGTCCCGAACCGCGGCTCTTTTCGGGAAATGCAGTTTCAGGGCGCCGAAAGCGCCTCTCTCCCCTCACTCCCACCCGCCGCAGCAGCTCGGCTTTTTAGCTTCTCCGGCGCTCCTCAGCCGTCACACCCAAGCGGGCGCTCCCGGATGCCCGGAGCCCGCCCCTGCTCCCTCATGGGACGGGGGCAGCCCTCGCCGAGGTTCGCAAGAGCCGCTGCCCGAACTGGGGGTCGGAGCCCGGTTACAAGCATGAGCTTTACCAACACGCTGTTGGAACCAGAAGCGGCGGCCGTGGGTGCGGCGCGGGCCCGCCCTGCTGGGCGTGCCGGGGTTTGCGGGGGACTCCGAAAAGTACTGTCAATTTTACTGGGATGCCGCGCCGGATCCGCGGGCAGGAGAACGCGAGAGGCGCTCACTCGGAGAGCTCGGATGCAGGATGTGGTCTCACGTACATTAACCGTCTCTCAGCTGCGGATTTGCAACTGATAGCGCCGCTTCCCCGGGGGATTTAAGGAGGCTCTGGAAGTCGTCGCGGAAGACCGTCTGAGAGGGCTAACGCCCCGCCGGGAACGCCGGCCCCCGCGGAGGGACCGGCTGCACGGCCCGGTGTCACCGCTTCGCCTCCCGCCCGGCAGGCGCAGCACGATGAGCGGGCGGCTCCGCGACCCGGGCGCTTTCGTTCAGCCCGTCTCCTCAGGCGGGACGCGGCTTACGCGCGGTATCCTCCCCGACGGGCGCTCTGCCCTGCGGCATCCCGGCGGGGAAACGGACAGCTCCTCCCGCCCCAGCACAACACCTGGCGCCTGCCATCGCCCGTCCCAGGCCGTCCACCGCTGGCAGGGAGCGCGTCCCGCGGTGCGGGCTCACGAGTGTCCCCGGGACGCGCGTCCGTCCCTCAGGGGCGCAGCGCCGCTCCGCGGGGAGCTCCGCGCCCGGCCCGCGCATGCG